ATCCAGCGGCGAGCAATCTGCAGAAAGATCAAGCTCCAGCATATTTCGACGCCAGCAAGCATAAGCATGTCATCGAGAATCTCTTCTGCAATATTTGCCTAATTAATGTGTTAGCAACTTTCTATTTCTTTATGAAATCAATATACAATTTTCGCTTTTGAACTCTTTCATACCTTATAGAATAAGTCAACAAGCTTTGAAACGTACTTTCCAATCCTAAAAATGATAATATTATGGTTTCGTAGATGAATAATGATGATTGTTAAAACATTCCTCATGCTCCGTACAACTTACCGGAAAGTGTTATGAAATTAAGCACAGTGATGTGTGCAAGTTTCACACTTTTAATCTGTCCAATAAAGTGATCCTATGAAAGTATATTGAGATATACTCATTTATTTGCCTATTAATTTGTGATTCAAGATGAATTTACTATTGTTTACAGAGATCCCACTTGTAAGCATTGTCGTCAGTGCAACAAATGTATATCTGGATTTGATCATCACTGCAACTGGCTCAACAATTGCATTGGGGCGATAAATTACAGGTTAGTTTTCTCAAAAATTTACTGGATTTCTAGAATCAATTTTTTTTCAGTTTTTTCATTTTTTTAATGTACATTTTGAGAAAAGCGAAGAGTAAGAGACTGTGGAAGCAAGGGCATTCAAATGTTTTCTTGTTTCTGATTCAATTTTTCTAGTTTAATAAAAGAAATCTGTCATAAGATTGCTGAAATTTTATGACCGTTTGCCATCTGGAATGCATTACTTTCTGAAACTTAATATCTGAATCTTCTCAACCTATCAGTATCACGAAATATTTTGTAAGTACTATCATTATTTTTAGGTTATTTTTATTATTAATACTGTCGGTGTGTTTTATATCAGCTCTCATATCAACGTCTCTGATTATAGTTGCAGCGATATCGTTTATTAACATTGGGTTACTTCCAAATACAGGTAAAATATTTCGTTTCATCAGAAATTTACTACATTTCTGATAAAATCGGAATGTAAGGGACGAATTAAGTGACAAGGAAGTTGTACGCATTGTGGAGAAGAAGGGAGAATTAGAAAAATATAAAAGTGAAAATACGATGTTAAAAATTGCGCGCAGGAACGTTTTTGATTTTTAATTTCTTAAAAAGAAGAATCATAAAAAATTGTATTTCAGATCAGTTACCAATAAATTTGATGTTATGGCAAGGTCTGTGCTTCGCTGCAAGTGCCTTATATGCTATTGTGGCTGTTATATGCGCACATTTGCTCTATTTCCATTACAAATTATGTCAGTTAATGAAAAATAGCTTTTCAGGATTGCTTGTACAGTATGACCGTGCAAATATAGGTATAGTATGACTACGTGAGTACATACAGTATGACCAATAATTGCAATTGTTTTGTGCCGGAAAAGAAGTTTATAGCAAGTCTAGAAGTATATTTTCTAAAAAGAATTAGGACATTGTTTATGAGAGCAATTTATACATTTTTGTCTTTATGTGATAAAACCGACCATTACAGGGCAACGTGGCATAACAACATACCATTTCATACGAACTAATAGAAGATGCAAGGTATGTTTGTTTTCAAATGAAGTAGAGATTATCAGCGCCATTTACTGTATAGCAGGGAAATGTTACGCAATAAAAATTCGTTATTTTTATGCGCTTATATCAATAATGTTTTTGATTGTTCTACTTTTACTTTTTGTATGAGACAGTATCTTATCAAATGTATTCAACTTTAGTAATTATTCTTTTCTTTTGCTTGCTATAAACAGGTAAATTATGTCAAAGTAGATACAGTAATACATTGTTGAACCAAAATCCAATATTTTGTTTCGCACCAGTGCAAAATTTCTTTTATTAGTATAATGCAGAAAGATGATTTGAAGATTTATGGTATAAGGAAGCTTTTCTTATAAAATTAAAAATCCTCTTAATTTAATTACACAAAGTTTCGCATGATTAACTTACATCTCTATTCAGAATAATCAGCAGCAGGAGAAGAGCCTATCAATGAATGTTAACGCATTACCTGATTTAACTCCTCCAGAAAAAACCTATTCCAAACTGAACGTCATTAAATCGAGAGCTGTCCACGACTCCAACATTGATAATCCATATGTGTCCTTCACATTTTAAGAAAGTTTTACTAATAACGGGCTTAAATGATAAAAAATTGTTCACTATTCATTTCATTTTGTTCACTCTTCGAAGCATTATTTTATAATAAACGCTGGTATTATGAACAGAATTGAAAACTCACAGACAAATTTTAACTTTATGTTTTCAAAACAGAAACAATACGGCAAAATTCACAATTACACTTTTAGTTGAATAGCAATTACTATTGTAAGTCGAGCTTGTTTAAGTCTTAATGGCGCACTTATTTTTCAGTGATTTTTAAATGACATTTTCTTTAGACTACGTTTGTCACATTATTTATTTATTGTACACTTGATAAGTTGACCTCTTACAGTGGACTTCGATAAGCTGACCTCTTACATTGTACACTTGATAAGCTGACCTCTTACAGTGGGAAGTAATGGTCGGATTAGGAGAGACAGAACAATATGAAAAGGTAATGGTGGATGTTCTGAAAGATGTATTGCAACAAACAGTAAGGTAACTGTTTCCTGCGAAATCTTTCATTAAACAAAAAACCCGGAAGATGAAAGATTCTAAAGTCAGTGTCATCATCTCATTGTTCCTTTTTCAATCAGCTAGTATTGGAACAGATGTGGTCCTACTTTTCTTGAGACCTCCGGAGGAAGAGAGAGAGGAACAGAGAAAGCGAGAGAGAGAGAGATGTAAGGTAAGCCGGTTGCTTTCTAAATATTATAGTAGCGATGCAAGCTGCAAGTGCATGCATGCAGTGCGGTATCGAGAATAGTGTGCCTGAAGAAGTTGTAGGGATAGAGAAGGAGAAGTGATATGATCCGAATCTGAGTGGGTGGGAAAGGAAATAGCAGAGACAGGAGGGTTCAACCCCTCTCTATCTTTCCGCCACTTCTCCTTCAGTATTTTAGTCATCAGAAATCGAATTTAACCCACCAAGTGGTACAACCATTCAATAACTTTAAAGGTAATCGAAATGGCTCAAATCAATTCGAAAGTGTTTCATTCGCTTCTTTTCTATAACTTCAAAGGTTGCTACAATTGCTATACAATGCCTATCTTAAGGAATTTTGTATTTCTGTTGTTTCTGGTTGTAAATGCTCAACGAAGTCAATTTGACGTGAATTGCCCAAAGCTGTGTCATTGTAACAAGACTACGGTTGAATGTCGTCACACAAAGATCCACGGTAGAGAAATGTTCTTAAACATACGTCCGGAAGCATATCCGGATTTGGATACTGTCGTTGTAACTGGGAACAATATTGGAGATCTGGCTGGATCGAACATTTTCGGTGTTAATGTTACTCATCGCTATGTTTCCTTAGTCAATTTATCTGATAATGCTATTAGCGCCATCGATTCAAATACTTTTTGTGGCTTTCCAGCAGTGGAATATTTCTATCTACATGATAATGCAATCGAGCGAATTGGCGCTGATCCATTCCGGTCAGTTTTATTTTGGTTTTTGTTTGTTTCATTTTGCCAAACAGAATATTTTTTTTTTGGCTTCATAGTTTACGACATCGCAGTTGGGTCTAAATTTGTTCCAGTTTTTGGCAATTTCAAAATTTTTTCTTCATGGATCAAGGTCAGTTCTTCAAATTAATAATCTTTGTAGATCTCAAGAACATACCTTGCATACAATGACTCCTCTTGCCATTTTTATCTGTCTGTTTAGATGAAATGAATTCATCTTTTTAGCTCGACAAAATTATTGAAAATGTTATTTCAGCATCAACATAGTTTTACAGATTTTGAAAATGCATTACTTCGATACTCAAACCCAAATATTGACTAACCGATATTAAATTTAAATTTTTTTCATATTAAATTTAGTTTCTTTTCTACTTTTTCTATGAAGTTACTTTACAGCATGGAAAAGCCAACAAGGAGTTAGTTTAAATTTGATTTTCCATTTTGTGGTAAATATCGGGAACGGTTAGTATACTTTGCGGTCTGATGATATTCCAAACTATGATGACTTAATAATATAGTTTAACGTGTGAAAATAGAAGTCAAGGCCACGTACTTATTCTTTGTAAGCCAATTTTATATTGTTGAAAAACGTTTTCCATATATTCACACATCTCATTTACTGGCAGTTTCAAGTCTCACTTTCGCTCGAAGCTTTTCAGACGAAATGTACGTTTACGAGTTCTGGATATGTCAAATTTTTTTTCTTCATCGGTATCGCTTGCTGAACGACCGCGCTTGCTGGCTAATACATTTGCCGGCTCTGTAAATGAATTTAATAATTTACAGGAACTAATTCTACGTGACAATGGTCTCACTGAAATATTATCTGACACGTTTTGCAAGGTAACTTTAATTAATAAAATGAGGTGTGCAAATAAAAAAAGTTCTAATTTCGGCAATTACAGCTTTTTGGTTATACCCATTTATGTTTACCATATAAATTATCAATTCATTAATAATGCTAGCCTGGTAAATTTCGATGCATTTTTAGGGTGTTCGCTAATGCGCAACATGATCAGTGATTATTATATTGTATTAGATTACTTATGTATCATGTATTGAAGTTGTCTGGTTGTGTCATACTGTCGTTGAGAATGAAGGTAATCTTTCATTTCAGCTGAATGGTCTAATTCGATTACATCTATCCGGTAATAAGATGAAAAAATTCAATGTTAAATCGGGTTGCTTACAAAATCTTATTGTATTGGATCTCTCCGGAAACGAATTTTCTACATTATCCACTCACCTTTGGGAAATCCTTCCTGGTCTGACATCGGTTGATATTTCTTCAAACCCTCTGAACTGCGACTGCGATATAATGCCAGTCATCAAGGAACTATCGAAGAGTCCGACATCTTCCCTCAATCAGGTAAAATTACTTACGAACTGATTTCATGAAGCAAGTTTGAGGTCCTTTACTTCATTCATTTATTGGAATATCCCTTACTTAACTTATACGCTGTTTTAATGACATTGACAGTGCCTTAATCGTTTACTTGGCTCATTTATGCGTTGCATTTACAGCAAACAAGTACTATTTTTCTTACTTCCGTGGTTGACGGATAAATCCATTTTTAGGGTTATGCGATATGTGCTGAACCGGAATCACGTAAAGGTCAAAATATCTTCGAGATTCCAAATTTTGCATGCAAAAGCACCCATCGATTTTTGTATTGGACTTTATTTGTTGTTCTTTTCTGTGCAGCAATGGGTTTTTGTCGTATTTATCGCAATCGTATCAAGTTGCGCCATTTACCGTTTATTGCCGGCTACAGTAAGCTTGGGGGAGAGAATGAACAGGTTGCTAGCAATCCAGAGTTTGTATGAACTGAACTGCAATTGGAGTTTAAGATCAGGCGCTTCATTTACTTCTCAAATAAAGTAAAAGTTATGTGTGATTCATCCGTTTATAATTCTCGATACTTTGGATTGGATCACCTTAAGTAAGTTTTTAAATGAGCTTCAGAACCACAACCGAATCCATTACTGATGTGGACAGCACTGACTTTTCTAGCATGCACTGAATTTTAATAAGGAATCCTAAATAATTTTCTCAATAGCCAGTCAGTTACGGGATATTTTTCTTTGTTTATCACAATATGCTTATCCCATTTTCGTTTACTTTAAATCCCTTTAACAACTTTGTTGACAACTTCTCCCAATTTTACAAGTATTTCAGTAATTTCTCATTTCTTTCTAGTCACTGCCATTAATTCCTACTTGCTTATTTTTATTTACTGTACTCCTTTTTGCTTCAGCAGTTTACAATGACACATTACACAGTTCGTATTTTCTGTGCCTTTATTTTCAAATAATTAAAAGTTTGAGGAACTTTTTAGAATTTCAATAATTTTTCCATCCTAAATGTGTATTGCAAAAATATAGTTTCGGCTTAGGTAGGAAAGAATAGGAAATTATCTCATTATTTGCTAATCAACCTTTACTTGGTTTTATGAGTGTTGGAATATTCACAGTTCGCATATTCCAGCGACCTTTAAGAGTGTCCGAAAAACTACCGTGTTTTGATAATTTACTTCGGCAATAAACTGTGATTATATATGTTGGTGCTCTATTTTTATTGCATATTTCACAACATTTTTATTATCGTCTTATGATATCGAATAAAGTCTGTGGAATTAAATTCATTGGGAGCATCAAAGATGTGGATGTTTCGCAAGAGTTCAGGTACTTCAATAGTTACCAAATGAAATTATTGACAAAAGCATGTGAAGATGGCAGCGAAATATGAGTTGTCGAAGGACAGGAAGAATAAGCAGAAGAAAGTGTGTGGGTGAGGGAAAACTGGCGATCTGCATCCATCTTTAACCAAACAGTAATTTGCAGGGTTTTTTTTGCTCCAAATAATTGTCTACGATCTCCATGTTATCAACTAGGTGAAAAAAGTGGTTTTGAAAACTTTCCCTGCTGGACCAGGGAAACGATATGTTGCATGCTCAATCGTTTCTATTAGGATTACTCATTTAAGTGGAATTTAATTCTTGCAGCTTCATTTGATAATTTTAAAGTTTATTTGTTTCTTTTTCAAAAGCTGATACACACGTTTCATGCTGAATGTAATAACAGAATGTTTCTGTGGTGGTGAAACGTTCCCGTGATAGTTGCCGCCACAAAGAATGTTTCATTTTCTTCGGACAAATCATATTTACAATTTTCAAAGTTTCTGATGACGTGACGTGTAAGTGTGAAACTCAATGTCACTAAAACTTGGATTAATTAGAAGTTTTATCTTTACCCAACGTGCAAATTTTTGAATTATTTAAAATTAGTGACTTAAAGATGTTAGAATTCGATAGCTCTTCATTTGATTTGAATTTTGAAAAGAATAAGAATCCACTAAAGATGGCTATTTTCCCGATCAACTCATTGCACATTTGGGATTTGTATTAGTCGAGAGACATTAGTTAAACTGTATCTGCATGAAAATTAATTGTGAGCTCCAGGTTTTTTTAAAATTCCATTTGCAGCGATCGTCATTTTTCAATGATATTTCTTACTAAATCATTTGTAGCTTAAACAATTGTCAAATAAATGGAATGAGTTGGTAGCATGCGCAAACTGTTTTGATGTGCCTTTGTCCAATCTACGCTCACGCTATTTGTGTCTTGATTGCTCAAAAAAGTGATGCACAACATACTTCGAAAGTAATGCAAATATATTTGAAATGTTTGAAATACAAAACCATAAGCGCTGGAACAAGGAACTGGATGGTTTTTGGACATCATCCTGTGAAATTTCTCGAGGCAAAATATTACGCCTTCATTTTATTACTTCTTTTCTTAAACGATTCATGACAATGACGACCAAAAAACATTAGTGGAAGAGAAACCCTATAAAAACCTATCTATATAATAAGTTATATGTTTCCTTATTGAATTGCCTTCGCTTCCATAATTTTCCTTACCTTCCATTTTGTAGTCTTTATGATCAGAAAAAGATAAAAAGCCCCGTCAGTGCACCATTTTTATGCAGTTTGATATTGGTTGCTTACTGAAATGCTGTTATTGATCGAAAATAGTTTTTTTTATAATTGAATATCATTTGCAGAATATAACTTGACCTTTTCTCTTCCCAGGGAATGTCTGTTATCCTGTAATACAGTAATATTGTTGAACCAGTATGTGTTGAGGAACATTTTTAGTTTCTTGTTTGATTGAATTATGTATAATATTTCCATGGTTTATATTACAATACAGAGGGAAATTTTCATGTGTTTCATCGAATATCTTTATGTTTTTTAATTCCTACACAAGAAATGCTAATTATTTACAATATGTTATGAAAGTTTTACAAAGATTTTGTTAGGACGAAAACAAAGTTGAGTAGGCGTTTTCGTCATTTTTATAAAGTTGAAATTAAAATGAAATAGAGCACTCGTTCCCGAACATCAAACATTACCATCACCTTTTTCGATAGGGGCATAATGCTTACATTGCTTATTTCTCAATACTCTTCTCCCTTGCTGCGTCTCTATCAGCGCTTTCTTCTATCATACGTTGTTGATATAGTGATATATCAATGGTACAATAAGTCGGTAAAAGGAGGAAACGATGAATGAAACTGTCTGTGACTCATGAATTTTTATGCATTTTCAATGCTTTGAAAATGTTTCGGTAAATTCGTCTTTCAAATTTTTCTTTTTCACTGTCATCAAAACTTATGGACAATGGCTGCTGATTGGATACAATGAATGACCAGTCATCGGACAAGATGGAATGGATGTAACTGTTTGTTACGCCACTTTATCTCATCATTAAAATGGTGTTGTAGAAGTATAAAATGTTGCGAAATTATGTTTTCTAAGCTTCTGTTATTTTACATTTGTACTACTTTGTTTTTCGTTTTTCTTTTTTCTGAAGAAGCTTTTTTAGAATGACGTCAAATTGGGAATGATTCATCTCTCACAATCAATTTCGCCTAGAATTATTGAGATAAATCCACTGCATCGTTGCTTATTGCAAGAGTTCATTGTAATTAACAGATAAAAATGCACAGTAAGATGCCTTTCTCAGGTCTATCAATTAAATCAAAAAAGACTTTTACTTAAAACTTCGGGAAGTTTACTCCGAGAATATTTAATGAGTTGATAAGGATAGAAAACTTTGAGTTCAGGAGGAAAAGCCTGTGATATTCATGTGACTGTAGACATTTCTGTGGGTGGCATTTCTGTCCCCTCCTCCGCTCACATTTTTCAAAAAAAAAAATTATTGAGATTAAAATAAAGTGTTCGAATGATGAGAAAGGAATTGAAAAGTTAGAGAAGGAACTGATGGGAAGAGGCGGAAGGGGAAGGAAGGGGTTAAGCGGAGATGACACTGTCTAATGAACTCTTCCCCAATGCTTCTCTTTCAGTCTCCTCCAAACTCGTCAACTTTATCAGTTATTCTGTATAAGACAAAGTGTTTTTTTTTTTTTTGAGGACTTAATTGACCTGAATTCATGATTTACATTCGGCACACCAATTAGGAAGACTGTGTTTTCGTACTAGTTTATAGACTCAAAGTAACAGAAAATTTTCCTTTACGTCTCCGTAACGTTTCTTACGTCTTCATTGTTACTTAAATCTTTGCACCAATTGCACGCAACATTTCTTCAGTTGTTGTTCAATAACTGCTTAGTGTGAAACTATCACACTGCAAAACAAGTGACGCGAAAATGATGTGAACTGCGACGAATGACCACACAGAAGTGTGTGGAGTCTGTCAATTTGAGCTCCTATATTTATCTATTTGCTAACATTTTCACGTAGCCACGTGATATATTGGAAGCCATTTTGTTTCAAACATGACCTAAATTGCTGTAAACTCATAAACTTAATTCAATTTTATCAACACGGGAAAGAGTATGTTAGCTGACTACTATTTGTGTCATTAATTTGCAAAATTGTGTGAATCCTTTTATTGGGATTCCTGCATTATGTGGTCACACGTCAGTCACTGATATCAATGTGCATGTGATGATGGCAGCATTTGCATACAGCAACCATCACATACGTACCTGCCCGCAACACTTGTATATATATATATATATATGTGTATTTGTAGGTGTGTATGTGTATGTGTATGTGTGTGTGTGTGTGTGTGCGTGTGTATGTGTGTGTGTGTGTGTGCAAATTGAATGCATATTTTGTGATGGTATAGTCCCTGTGTTTGTTGCCCGACTCTTTGCACTCATCACATTTTCCTTTTCGATATTTCCGTGTGTTGATATTCGTAATCATATGCGCTTTCCTTTGCAAGATGTTAGGTGAAGCTGGAGAAAGAGGGATGGAAAGTTGGAATAATGGTCAGGTGGGGAGAGGAGAGGGAGGGAAAGAAAGCATTTTATGGGAGGGAGTGGGCGACTATGGCCCTCCCCAAAGGATACGCCGCTTCGGCGTGCCGTCATTGGGGAGAGTGAGCGTTCGAACTCGTAAAGGACGGATGGACAGTCCCTCGGATAGCCAATCAGACGGTCGCTGATGATTTGTTACATCTTTGTATGTTTACAAATTCAAACCTTATACCTGGTTTCTTTGTGCTATTGGAGGGGATGGACCTAAGAGAGTAATCTCAGCAGGTCATCGGGAATTCTCAGTATAAGCCTTTGAGGTAGAAGATTCAGTTTTATGTCACTGTTTCATTCGATCTTCAGTTGACTTCATGGCATTCATGGCATAAGATGCCATGAAGAGAGCCTGTTTAAATCCGAATAAACTGTTTCCCTTGTTATCACTGATTACACTTTTGCATTCCATAGATTAAGTCTAATTTTCTTATTGCTGAACAAATGAGATTGGAATGTTCGCATTCCAATCTCTTCCTCACCTGTTTTAATGACATATTGTTGTCATACCTCGCAGCAGGAGTGTTGTGGAGTTGTGTGCGATAGATTGATTGAAATACTTTGTGCTGTCCTGTCTTGCTCTGTCCTGCTCGCAACCATCCATTTGATTTGATAGGACCACAAAATGTACTATATGATAGTTTCATTCTTCCTTTATGTATTTTGGTGTCAAAAACCTGCTTATTGTTCCGTATATATGCTATTCAAGTTGGAAATATCTGTAACAAAACATAAGCTCAGCGTGAATCGTGATCAGCTCAGAATCTAAATTACACAGTTAAAAATAAGAAATAAGATTAGTGGAATCGACAAAGGACTTTCTGTTCCGGATAAAAGATCTTTTTTATCCTCATTTGCCTCGCTTGTTCGAAAATTTCTTGATGTTGAGATGTATTCATTCATTTAATCAAAGCGATAATCATTAAAAAAGAATGGGTGGTCAGGATTGATCTGAATTTTGAGTCATTGTGTGACTGTGTACAAGGAATATAATAGGAGTGAACCTTTTATAAAAAGCTGACAGCCAGGAAAGAGGCAAGGAATATAATAGGAGTGAACCTTTTATAAAAAGCTGACAGCCAGGAAAGAGGCGAGACACTGATTCATCGATAGCTCACTTTTGGAAAAAAAAAATTGCCAACAATTTCCCATTTTTATGTCCGCTATTTTTTGTTTATTTGATTTGGAGGATTGAATAGGAACTTCGGATATTAATCATGTTGAATTATAAAACTGCGTTTTTTGTTGCATTGAAGAAATGCTGAAATTAATTTGTTTAACGATTTTTGCGGAAAACTTAAACTCTAAGAAAATTTGGATTTCTCTTAAAATAGTTACTTTACTGATTGGTTCGTGTTAGATGTTCCAATTTTCTAATATTCATTATTTTATGTTTTTTGATTAAAGTTTCTTATGTTTGTCCATCATCTCAGGGAATTTTATTTCGTTTTAGCTATTTCATCGTTTTTAAATTTGACATTCTTACTGCTCTGTTTGTCAAGAAGTAAAAATTTTGAATCTAGGGCTAGGATTTGGCGGACTTTCCATTATATAAGCAAAATTTTGCAGAAATATGCCGGATTTCAACCAAACATCCATGTCCATTTCGAGAGGATTGTGTTTTGTCAGCAGTGTTTATCACTATGGAAGAATTGTTCTCGATTCATTAGCTTCTTTTGAGAATAAGAGAGCATTCCGATATGCATGACTATTTTGCTTTTACTTCTGTCATTTTATTTGCAGAAATTCTTAATTTGTCTGTCTGTAACCGTGTAGTTGCTGAATCAGCGCGGTGTGTTGCTGCTTATCAGAAGCTTCTTATCTAACAGATAAGCCGGTGAATTCTACATTTTTTAGTAAAAGCAGTTCCCTAATTCCATTCAGAAAGGATTCGATGTATAGTAAGAGAGAAAGAACAAAAGTTGAGGATCATCGAAATATGCTACAGGAGTAACGAATTGTTGATGGTGATGGTTCTTGAACAAGAATGCAGACTTTTTTCGACTTTTTTCGTTCTTGAAATAGTGCTGAAAACATTATTTTGCAAATTTGATATTACATTTGCAATTGGTAATTTACAAACAATGGAATGAATCAGTGATTTCGAGTAATTGAGATTATTATGATAATCCCTGATAATAATCATGTCGAAGGAGATTGGGTGATTGTATTTGTACTTCCAATCTCGAAAATTCATCTGTGTTTGATTTATTGACAGCTAAAAAAAACCTTGTTTGTGTGTGTAAGGAACAAAATCAGTCTTTGCTTCCGGAAATTCTACTTCCATATTTGATTTCTTTCGGAATGTGATTACATTCGTTATATTTTAAGTTGTGGTATATATGGTTGAATGCATCAAGAGATTTCCAAGAATCCATGTCTAAAAGTTAGCCCGCCGCTTTTTGCTTCTCTTTTTAGATTGTTTTATATCATCATCTGTTTTAATCTTCTTTTTTCTTTTTTTTTTTTGAAGAAATTTGATTTTCCATAGGACAAGGTAATCTAAACATAGATTGTGGGTATTGGTTGCCTTATGATTACACTATAAAGTTTGTCAGGAGAACATTTTTTTCTGTTCAGACTTTGTACTTGAAAGGAGATAACATAATTTCTTGCACAGATATTGTTCCGTTTGATACCGTAGTTTTCTGCTAAATTTGTTTCGCTTTCTAAATTTGAGGAACAAAGGCCAATTTACCAAAAGTAATTCACTGAATCTGACACTTCCGAGAGACAGCAGCTGTGTTGGGGAAGTTATTGGCTATTTCATTCTCTGCAGTTGATAACGAATTGGATTCATTGTATTTAAGAGCACCTTGCATTGTGATTATTAATCATCTGAAAATCACAGGTCAGTGTTTATTCAGTAGTAAATGAAATAAGTAGGTAAGAATTTTCTTGAGCTCAGACTGTTGAGAATCAAATAAATATTGTTAGTTTCGAAGGCGCTTTTTCGTGATACTTAATGCTTATTGTTTTTCGAAATTTTTGGAATTTCTGTGAACATTAGGATCAAAATAAATTATAGAACAAAAGTATTGTTATTGTTTGCAATGTTGTAATCCATTTTATGTGGAGGTACTCAGTTAGTCACTTCAGTTCCATTTCCTAACTCCGTTATTGCTGTTACAGTTACTACCAGTTACTCTTAATCTCTTCCTCTACGTTTACTACTTATTTCATATGTGACTTTACTAAATACGTGTCGTGTTTTCTATCATAATTTTTTATTCCATGTTTCGCATCTTTTATCCTGATAAATTTCTGGCGGACAAAATATTAATCAGCTGGGTTTTTTTGTACCTGCATCAGTGTCAGTAACCATTTAGAGTATTACTATATTATATGATCATTGTTCACATTTTTGTTTTGATTATGATATGTGTGGTGCAGTTTCATCAGCTGTATCTTGGTCGTTGAGTGTTCATTGCTCTCATTTACAGAATTTAAAATTCAACGAAATTGAAATTCAATATTATTGCATTGGATAAAACTGATCACATTATCTTTTGGGATGAGTTATTTAAGAATTCGATTTAAAAGTTAATCTCATTGTTTCAATAAAGCATATGGTATTCCTGCTTGTTCTTTCATGTTCTTTTACAATGGGTTCTATCTCCTTGTTGTTGTTTGCTCTGCGATCTCACAATATTATCACATCAAGTGCATTTTGAAACGGTTGCTTTCCTGTGTTTAGCTATGTGTACGAATGGATGATTTGAGTAAAGGGTGAGAGGCCTTCCCTTACTTTTTTGCAGAATTTACTCAGGTTACTTTTGTGTACAGATTAGGTATTTTATTCCCTTAAGTTTGAATTCCGTTTGCTTTTGCAAACGAATTTTGCGCACTATTCTTTTTTATCTCTGGTCCGTTGGAATCACAAATTCTCTAGTTTCTGAAATCACTGAAATCCTAGAAATCATCATTAAATTGCTATATCCATAAAGCGAATATAGGATGTGATTCAACCTACACTCGTTATCCTTTCAATTGCTGTCCTTCAAAATTGTATCCATGAAATGTTCGTTTTACAAAATGTGTGATTATGCTATGCAAAAGAGAACAGTTTTAATGCAACTTAACTGATACCACTAAATTCCCATGTTTCATTAACTAAATCTATCCAGTGATCATCCTAATGCTGTCCTTTCCATTATAAAATAAACCAACATTATAGTTGGTTTTTTTTTTTGTGCAATATTATTATTGTTATTGTTTTATACAATATAATGTTGTTTTATATAATATCATATATTGTTTTATCAATATTTTACCTCTCAACAAAGTTCTAGAAAATATTCTTATATTTTCCCTCATCTCCTCATTAGCCGTAGCCGTATCTGTCGGGTTTCATTTATTTCAAGTATTATTTCATTTTGAGAACTTACATATTCTTTTAATTGGCCCATGTAATAAATAATTAGCAATATTCCATTAGAACTTATTGCTCATGAGCCACTGGCAAATGCTATATGGAAAAGTAATAAAGCTCCTGAAGTTCATAGATATTACAGCAAAAAATATTAATGCACAAATGGAGTCCGTAAAATGAACTTGAAATATGGAACTAGAGTTTGTTTCATTTCCTTGTTTTTTTCCACATGTTCATTTTCTTCAATATTTGTAAGCGGTGTTTTTGTATCGGATTCGTATTGTTAGTTGTGAATGTACTCCAAGCTGAGGCATTATGATATACCTACTCAAGCACTCAAAGATCCGCTAATTGACAAATGTTTTTTAGTGTTAGATTTAAATTTCTTGAAGATTTCACTTTGATGAAAGGATCAAAAGTATATTTTCCAATTGTGTGGGAGCCTGTTTTGTATCTTTTCTCAAAGTGATTGCTAGAAATAGTTCTTTCTGATTTGTTGAATACCAGGGAACCGGTTTTTAATTAATTGTTATGTGCTTGTTAGTACTGTATTCAAATTTCT